GGGTTGGGCTGGGGAGTCAGTTGCCAGGCAGATTGTAATGTATCAGAAATCCAATGTCTATGTTTAGTCCATGATCTCTAGTATCCAGGAGGTTGATGAAATGGAGCTCATAGGCTCGTCTCTGGGAAGTGTTGTGTAAGTTTCCCTTGAGGATCAGGACTGAGAGATTGGAGAGAGAGTGGCCCTCCTGTGAGAAATGTGCCCCCACCGGTAATTGGGTGTTTCTGTCTTTGATGGATTTCCGGTGTGCGTTCATTCTGGTGCGCAGTTGTTGTCTGGTCTCTCCTACATATCTTCCATCAGGGCATTTGGTGCATTGGATGAGGTATACTACATTCCTGGAGGTGCAGCTGTAAGATCCTGGGATGCTGATGGCTCTGTTGTGGGGTGTAGTAACCCCAGAACACACCAAAAGGATCCAGACCGTGCCATGACAAGAAATGCAAAACCTGCCAACACATCTCCACCACCCCCACTATTACTACACCCCACAACAGAGCCATCAGCATCCCAGGATCTTACAGCTGCACCTCCAGAAATGTAATGTCTCATCCAAAGCACCAAATGCCCTGATGGAAGATATGTAGGAGAGACCAGACAACAACTGCGCACCAGAATGAACGCACACCGGAAATCCATCAAAGACAGAAACACGCAATTACCGGTGGGGGCACATTTCTCACAGGAGGGCCACTCTCTCTCCAATCTCTCAGTCCTCATCCTCAAGGGAAACTTACACAACTCATCCCAGAGACGAGCCTATGAGCTCCATTTCATCAACCTGCTGGATACTAGAGATCAGGGACTAAACATAGACATTGGATTTTTGATGCATTACAATCTGCCTGGCAACTGACTCCCCCGCCCAACCCAGCCCAGCCCCTGGCTTCTTTACTTTTCATTCCATCCAGGAAGAGCACACACCAACTGCTGCAGCTTCCTGAGCCTGACGAAGGGGTTTTGAACCCGAAAGCTTGCTTAATAACTATTCTCCAACCATTTGGGTTGGTCTAATAAAAGATATCAAATTCACCCAAGGAACCTTGTCTGCCTATATCCTTAGACCAACATGGCTACAACCTAAACCCCTGAAGCCATAGAGACAGTCAGACCCAGATTCTCCTTTGCCTACTGACTCAAAGGCAATGGGACAAATTCTCTTTATTGGATAATAAGGATAAAAATCTGCCCAACACGCGCTGCTCTCAAGGGACAGAAAACATTTTCATTCTTCAAAATGTTTTCATTCTTCTTCAGCTTATGGCTTTTAATGTCATTGAAACAAAAATGAACTGTTCCTTCTTTGTACTTCACAGTGATTTGAGCCTACAATGCTGGACCTACAGTGTGCAAATGCATGTCATTGATGTCGTACGGCTGGCTGACGCCTGGGTCACACACAGCCTCAGTTTTACTTCTGCGTGAGCCTTTTCCCAAATTCCACGTTAAACTGGTGTCGGTGAGATCAAGTTGCTTTTAATATGATTTGCTTGCATGTGTTCACACAGGTGCGAGGCCACGTGACACTATCTGATAGGCCCGTGTGCAACAACTCCCCTAGTTTTCCTTTTGGCCTGCAATGCCATTCAAAACCCAGTTCAACAGGATGCCTAGGCACACGCCTCACTTTAAACTCCCATTCATTCAGCTACACGGCGCGCCTATCTAAAGGCAGGCATATATTTAATTGCCCTGCTGAATGGAAGCCAATGGCCTTGCAGGGAGAAGGAGGTCCCAATGCAAGGTCTTGCACCAACGTCCCTTCGTCCCCTGTGAAAGTGGACCCGTGCATGACCAACAGGCCCAGCTTGCCTCTGCATTCGGCCACGAGATTCACCTGGGAGCTTCATAGTGGTTAGGGGCTGGAAGGGCCCTTAGAGATCATTTCTCCAGGGTATGTCAAGTGCACGGTGCTGTGAAAGACCTGCCGTGACACCCACGCAATTGTAGCCCTGTGCTGAATAAAAAGCATCTCTTTGTTCTTATTCACCATTCAGGACAACCTAGTTTTGCTCCTGATATGGCGGAGAAGGAGCGTTAAAACAGGCCCTTCAAAATGAACAAACACGGGCTAGACCGACTGGCACAAACCCCTTCGCTCGGGCTGCTGCATTGCAAGGAAAAGCCGCGCGGCCTTGCGGAGCGGGAATAGATGCGAGTGAACTTTTTTGCATCAGACAGCCAGCCAAAAAAGCATGCCACGAGGAGCTGTTTCCATACCAACCATGCCAGAAAGTTATATCACTCATCCTGTGTCATGCCACAGCTATTTCTCCCCTTGTTCTTTCAACTCGCTCCGGCAGCTCGCGGTGCTCAGGACACCTGAGCTGACCTGCTCTCACATCACCGTTCTCCTGGCACGAAGGAGGGTGCCTGGAAAGAAGCCCGACCGCATGTTTGCAAGGTCTGCTGGGCCAGGCCGAGGGACTTCACAAATAACACACTGTTTGCCGGGTGACTGAGGCGCGGTTGGGAAAGCAGGACGCTTTGCTGGAAACCAGAAGATCCAGATGCTGGTTCTGGCGCTGCCCCAGCTCATTGTGCGGGCTTGAGCTGCTTACAGACATCGCTCATTTTCCCCATGCGTTTGCTGGGGATAATTACCGAGCTTAGCTGGTTCAGCTGAGCAAAACAATGGTTGAGAGGGGATACCACCGCTCTGGATAAATACAGGATGGCAGCAAATGCCAGGGAGGGAGAAGAGCTGTTGAAGGTGGTGGATGATTTTGGCACAGAATCAGAAAGGTAGGAGCTGGCTAACAAACAAAGAGGTTTCTGACCCGCCTTGTGAAGCAGCTGCCTTAGAGGAGCAGCAGATCCTCAACTTGGTTTAGGGTGAGCTGGATAAATGCATGCACGGGGCTGTATATCCACGCTGGGGACAGCAGGGAACTGGACTGACCGAGCCTGTGCAAACCCGGATCCTGCCTCCCCGGAGCTCAGAGACGGGGTTAGCCCCTGGCCAACGCCAGAGCAGCGACACTGTCCCAGGTGCCCGCAGGGGAAGCCCTACCTCCTCCGTTCTGGTACGTCAGGTAAGGGAAGCGCCACACGTTGCCCAGGCCCACGGCGTAGCCCACCATGGACAGCAGGTAGTCCGTTTTGCTGGACCAGTTGCCCCGCTCAGAGTTCTCATCTTCCCCAGCGCCCTTCTCCTTCGCGCCGGACAGGGTGAAGTCCTGCGTGGGGGGAAGAGACACAGGAGGGTGGTGAGAGGTGCCCGGGATGCCAAGGGGAGCAGCTGCCCGGACAAACACGCAAGCAGCAGGTGGGCTCGCGCTCCGGGCTGTCCTGCCCACGGCGGCCCGAGCTGGGTGCTGCGGTGTGGAGCAAGGGCACGGGGATGGCACCTGCTCCCTGCCCTGCGGGGAGCCCCAGAGCCCACCCCCTCCGCCCCAGGAGCGCGCTTCCCCTGGGACACGCCTGCCCAGGTGTGCAGTCCATTTGGGATATACCTGTCCAGGTGTGCAGTCCCCTAGGATACACCTGCCCCCGAGTGTGGTACCCCCAGGATACACCCACCCCATCTTCCTGACATACACCTGCCCAGGTGTGCAGTCCATTTGGGATATACCTGTCGAGGTGTGCAGTCCCCCTAGGATACACCTGCCCCCAAGTGTGGATCCCCTGGGGTGCACCTGCCCCCAAGTGTGGTACCCCCAGGATACACTCGCCCCATCTCCCTGACATACACCTGCCCAGGTGTGCAGTCCCCCCAGGATACACCTGTCTGGGATACACCTGCCCCTCAGTGTGGTTTCCCTGACATACACCTGCCCAGGTGTGCAGTCCTGGGATACACCTGCCCTGTCCCCCCAGGATACACCTACCCCAGAGTGCGTCTCCCCTGGGATACACCTGCCCCAGGAGCACAGTCCCCACGGAGTGGCACCTGCACAGGAGCACGGTCCCCCCGGGATGCACCTGCCCCATCTCCCTAACTTACACCTGCCCAGGTGTGCAGTCCCTTGGGATACACTTGCCCTATCCCCCGGGAATACACCTTCTCAGGATGCACCTGCCCTGGAGTGTGGTTGCACCGGCATGCACCTGCCCCGGGAGTGCGGTCCCCCCCCGCCGGGATGCACCTGCCCTATCTTCCTAAGATACACCTGCCCAGGTGTGCAGTCCCCCTGGCATACACTTGCCCTATCGCCCGGGAATACACCTTCTCAGGATGTACGTGCCCCGGAGTGCGGTCCCCCCCAGGATGCACCTGCCCTGGGAGCGCAGTGCCCCCGGGATGCACCTGCCCCATCTCCCTAACATACACCTGCCCAGGTGTGCAGTCCCCCTGGCATACACTTGCCCTATCGCCCGGGAATACACCTTCTCAGGATGCACCTGCCCCAGGAGCGCGGTCCCCCCCGGGATGCACCTGCCCAGGTGTGCGGGGTGCCCCTGCCCCGGCGCCTACCTCCTTGGTGCCGCAGCCCAGGCAGCCGCGCAGGTTGAGCCTCCCCATGCTCCGGCTCGGCTCGGCTCCCTGCGCTGCTTCTCCCCGGGCCGGGCCCTTTATCCCGCCTCCCCGCCCGCATCCGGGGCCGGGCCAGGTGGAGCCGAGAGCCCCGGGCACCTCCCCTCCCCTGCCCTGCCCTGCCCCGCACCTGGGAATGCCCCCTGCGAGCCCAGCCCTGCCCTTGCTTTTCCTGCCCCCTTCTCAAAGAAGAGGGGGAGAAGGGACCTGCGGAGGTGTCCAGCACCTGTGCACATCCACTCCGCATCCTCTTAGCAAGACCCCCACCCAAATCCACCTGCCCCCGGGGTACACCTGTTGCAAAGCGGGTTAATATATGCTGGAGACATCCCAGGAAGAGGCTACAGAGGAAGGCAAACGTCCCCCAGTCTGTACCAATTGGACCGGGGGTTGGGGAATCTTCCTCCCCAAATCTGGTGATCAATTTGATCCTGAGCAAAGAGGCAAGACCCTCTAGCCTCCCACACCCAACGCCTCTGATAAAGGTCAACCCTCTCCCCCAAACTTATATAGCAGCAAGGGGATTCAAGCTCAAGGAGAGCTGATGCAAGCCAGGAGCAATGGTCCCTTGGCAAACCCCTCAAGCCCCGTCTGTGACCCCCTCTGCCCAAGGGCCCTTTGCCACAGCCCGCGTGAGCAGCCAGCAGGACGAGCGGGTAGCACCCCAGGCTGGCAGCGCGTCGCTGCACCGCGGATGGAGACAGACCGGCCGAGGAAGCAAAAACAGCTCCAGGACAGGGAAAAACTCCTTGAAAAGAGCCTGATGAGAGTGGGTTGCACACACGTCTCTCCTACGGGCAAGAGACCGGCACCTGGCCAAAGCTTTAACAAAATCAACCGCGGGACAGCCGAGCTCTTTGCCGTGCCCCCCCTGCAATTTGCACGCTCCGAACCCTGAACTGAACTCCAAGCCGTGGCCTGCTTCATGGGGCAGCAATCACGTATGCTCATAAATCAGCCCAAATTTCTCCCGGACTCGGCCCCCCGGTTTGTTTGAACTGTGCCTGAACTTTATGAGATCTTCCGGCAAACCTGATCCGAGCCTGTCGCTTTGAAATGACCCGTGAGACAAGCTGAGGTTGCCTGGCTTCAGGGTACACGAAGGTGCGTAGCTCTGCTCACTTGCTCTCCGCCGCTGGAGCTCTCCATCCCTTACAATCGAGCTTGGTCGTCTTCGATCCGGTAGCGACTCCAAGCGCTGCTCCCATCCTAGCTGTGGGTTTCTTGGCATAACAACCTGGAGTAAACATCCTGTTTCTTGCAACCTCTCCCTAATTAAGGGCTACTGTCATGTTTTGTGCAACTATGGATACCTAAAGGCAGGGCCATATGTAATGCCCTGCACCTGGGAGGTATCCTGATATGTTCCTTTTCGATGCACATTCAGTATTAAAGAAAAAAAACAAGCAGGTCCCGATGAGAATAAAAGCCAGGGTTTATCCATGGAGAGACTCCAACGAAAGCGAAGGAAGGAACCTAGCTAAGTACTAGGTGCCTGCAACCAGTGTAGGCAATTACCTTCCTAATATCTTCATCTGCAAAGAACCACCAAGAAAAAAAGATGCACCGTGGCTGGATTTGCCTCTATTAAGGCATGAAGCATCCCTGGACTTGAGATTATCGTCTACTCTCCCAGGAAGGAGCAGGCGATTGAAGACCAAGCGCTGAAAGACACGGGCTGCTTCTGTGCCCAGGGACACGGCTGAGTAACGGGACCATGCCCTGCTTCACTGTGCCCACCGTGCTGCCTTGCAGCCAGAGGAGCGAGCGCACAGCTCGCCGACGAACTGAAGCAGAAAACCACTACCATTGGGAAAGAGACAACAAAGAGATGTGCTGGATGCAGGGACAAAGCCATGTGTCACCAGGCAAGACCCGCGTCGCATCCAGCACCCTGCCAGGGCAGCCCGAGCCGTGAGCGCACAGCCTTCGGTGCAGCGGGCTCCACCATTAGCAGCCCCCTAGGAGTGACGGGCACATGCCCGGCACACGCCTGGCCATGCCATGTCAGCCTGGGCACACCACAAGTACAGAGGGCCTTGACGAGCTCCCTGGATCATCTTGCACAGAGGACGGAGAACTGTATCACACCTCGCACTTCCACATGCACACATCAGTGCAACAGCGTGTGCAGAAGCTTCCTCCTCCGCAAACCCTACACCAGCGATGCTTTCAGCTATGAAACCTGCAGAGTTCTCTTGTGGTCTAAGGAAGGGAATATAACTTATCCAACAGCCCAGCAAGAGAACTGCCACTCATTGGTATCGCTTGAAAGCTAGAAGGCGTGCGGTGCAACGGGGGCAGAGACGCATCGGACATCGTCTCCCATGGCAGAGATGAGGGCAGTTCCCAGGTATTCCTGTCTTCTTTCTGATGAACCTGAAACCATCCAGAACCACCCAAATCTTCTGATCCAGTGAGGCCAAAATTTCTCTAGCTGTGTTACGGCCGTCACAGCTGCACAGAGATTTCAGCTGCTCTCCTCCTTGCCTCAAGCACATAGTCTCTTGCTGACTGTCTGCCCTCCAGCAGTTTAGGGCTCCTCTTTCTCCTTTTTTTCCCCTTAGAGAGAAGGATCAAAGCTGCTGCTGACACCACGTAGTGTGAGGAAGGCAGAGATGCACAGGACAACATCTGCAGGGTGGCAGCACCATGCTTGTACCATCCAAATGCCTGCACTACCGTGCTCGTACCATGCAAATGCTTGCAACACCATGCTCATAGCATCCAAATTCTTGCACCACCATGGTCGTACCATCCAAATGCCTGCACCACCATGCTCGTAGCATCCAAGTGCCTGCACCACCATGCTTGTAGCATCCAAATGCCTGCAACACCATGCTCGTACCATCCAAATTCTTGCACCACCATAGTAGTACCATCCAAATGCCTGCACCACCATGGTCGTACCATCCAAATGCCTGCACCATGCTTGTACCATCCAAATTCTTGCACCACCACGGTCATACCATCCAAATGCCTGCACCACCATGCTCGTACCATCCAAATTCTTGCACCACCATGCTTGTACCATTCAAATGCCTGCATCCTAGGTCAGGGAAGTACACTGAGGACTGCCAGCCACCCAGGATATTGGTCTTTTTTATGATGCGAGTAAATGCTGTTGGTCCCCATCAGCTGGTTTAGGGAAACTTCCCCTCTTGATTTAGATGCTCCAAGTAATAGTGTTCACTAGTCCCCTTGGCAATCCCTTCTGATGGCTCCATGTGGTTAAGACCTGCCTCTCTCGTGGTCCCCTGGCTAGTTAAGTCCCAGCCCCTCGTGAACAGCGATGACTAAAACCACAGTAAATATTCATCTCTTCCATTCACAGATGGGAACATAAAGCACACCTGAAGGGGCAGGTTTTAAGGATACTTCGGTGAGAACAGGCCCCTGCTGAGTTTTTCTAACCCAGTTGGAGCACTTCTGAAAACGCCTCGAGACCCCTGTTTGCATCTGCAATCTCCTAAAGACCTTTAAAAATCTGTCCCTAAGGCACTAGGGTTATTTAAGCTGAAAAAAACACTGATTTGAAAACCATCTGCATAAATCCCTGAAGGGTGATGACAAAGAGGATGGCGATGGGCTTTTCTCTGTGGCCAAAAGGGACAGGACTAGGAGCAATGGCCTCGAGCTGCAGCAGGGGAGATTTAGGCTGGAGATGAGGAACTTTCTGGCTACGATGGTGGTCAAGCTACCGAGAGAAGTGGTGGGCTCTCCATCTCTGGAAGTGCTTGTAAATGGGATGCTGCACCCGGGGGGGAAAAGGTACCTCTGGGCCCCAGCTGTGAGCACTGGAGAGACCAGCCAACCCGGGGCGTCCTGTGTAACGAGCACATGGAGAGAGCGATAGGGCCGGCCGGGGCACGGCCCAGGAGAGTTGCACAACTCCGAACACAGCTGTCGTGAAAACAGCGAGCTGTCACAGCAGGGCCGAACCCTCGTAAAGCAGCAGCTCGAAATAAAGAGCCGTGAGAGTGAGAAGTGGGTATAAGAAACCACCTCGCCCCATTGCTGGTCTAATGCAGGCAAAGGGAGATCGGGAATGGATCCGGGCTCCCATTGTGGTCTTCCCTCCACGATCACCTGCTTGCAAGCTAGTGTCCAGGGCGGTCTGGAAGGTGCATAACTGCCATCTTCCCTCCCCTTCCTCCCCCATCGCCACGTCGATTCCTTGTGTTTCGGGGCTGCTCAGAAAAAGCTATTTCCACACCACAGAAAATTGCAAACTTCTGCAGTTTGCTTTCATCCCAAGTGGGGAAAGAGCCGGTTTGCAAACGCCGTTGCAAGTCCACTGAAGCCTCATTCAGAAACTTTGCAACGAGCTTCTGGAAACCTAATGAGCCAACGTCAAAAAATCATCGGTGTGTCATGGCTCTGTTGAGCTGGGAGAGGATCTAGGACCCGGGGCACGGTTGCTCTGAGGGGACATAGTTGCACATGGAGATTAACCGAGTGTTGCACGTCCAGCATCATTTCATTCTGAAGTAACAAAGCTTTCCGGTGCAAAAATGTCCCCACACCCAACACGTCATTTTTGACCTGCTCTGCTGGACGCTATCTTATCCTTTTTAGGGGTCGGACGTCACTTAACCTCCGTCACCTCCATCCTCGTTGAGGTCTTTCCTCATTGTAGCACTCTGGGCACATCTGCTACTGCAATCTCAGAAAGAAGAAGCGGGGTTAATTCAACCCACGCTCAACTCTCTGCTATCACAACCAGGCTGGCTGGAGGACTGAAACCGCCCGTTCCCCACAGGAGGCTCAAGCTGCTGCGAGAGCTGCGGTGCAGACATCTGCTCTGAGTCAGACTCTCGGGGTAATTCCTGCTTGATCGTGGAGGGTGGTGACTAGAAACTAATGGGACAGACTTTTGCCTGTGGCGTCTTCAGAGATGCACTAGTCAGTTCACCTAATACGTATTCATCTGGCTCCTGGTGTCAGCTGATGTTTTCCATTTGCATGCGGGAGTCAGATGAACGCATGCATCGAAGC